GTTAAATCTCATGGCTCATTATAGATTTTCATTAGAAGAAACTTCCGGCGTTCAAGAGAAAACACGAATCGAGTCATTGCCAAAAATTTGCAATTATACATGTTAACTTACCCCGCTTCTCCTTGATGTCATAGCAACTATCGGACTCCATGAATTTGTATGAGGATTGTACCGTTCTGCGCTCGAGAGTTCCATACAGTCGTCTCGACCGCCAACGGCATAAATTAGATTATTAAATACAGCACAGCCTAAATGCTTACGTCTTGTAGACATAGGAGATATTTGAAACCACTTATTTTGCCTTGGATCATATCTTTCTACTGTATTTAAAGGCGACTGACCATCAGACCCGCCGATGGCATATAAATAACCGCCTAACACAGCTACAGCAACTCCAAGCCTTCTGGTGGTCATTGGCGATACTTTTGACCATTTATTCTCCTTAGGATCATACCTGTGTAAAATTGATTTTCAATTAGAGACCTTCGTGTTGCATTCTACACATCAGGCCTGTTAAAACAGGTGATCACTGCTAGATACTTTCAAAGTAGTACACAAAACAGTCATCTTTGCCCATGACGGCGTTAGGAGCTGCCTAGAGGACAGGCCTGCTGTGTATTTTCACTAGTTGTTCACTGTTTATGTGATTACTCATCTAGTAATCAACAAAAACAATTGACCAAAATAAGATAACATACCTTTCAACGTGATTTAAACACTGGACACCATCCTGACCACCCACTGCATAAAGGAACCCATCCAATACCGCAACACCTACACTTGTTCTGCAAGATGTTGTTGGTGCCACATCGCAGGACCACTGATTCGTTTGTGGATCATATCGTTCGATACTATTTAAATAACTTTGTCCATCGTGACCGCCCACCGCATACAACAAGTCATTCAGTACTGCTACACCAACACCGCATCGCCGTTTACTCATCGGCGCGACCATTTTCCAATCTGCGGTGTTAGGGTCGAATCTTTCCACGCTCGCGATTGCATCGCCAGAACACCATCCCCCAACGGCGAACAATACTTCACCGCGTCTAGTTGGTTTCCTAGGGCGTGTTCTAGGACCTTGCATTAACGGTCTCTCTTGCGGAAGCAGCAAGTAATTCTTTGCTTCATCCACTAGGTCTCTACACGCATCATCAGACCGTACTAAAAGATCAGACCCAACAGTTCCAACTAAAAATTTTGGACTAAGGAGAGGTAACCGTACATGCTGAAGAACTTGTGCCAAATGCTGCCTCCTCTCAGTAACATTGTATTTAACCCAATTCATAACCGCGCTGAATACTTGTTCCTCTGTTCGTACGTTTAGTTCGTCCGAGGAAATAATATCTACTAATTGACCAACAGGTAATAACAGAAATTCTTCACTTTCCATTACCTGTTCAAGGGGCAAAGACAAACATGTTAACTAACATGAAGTAAAATACATAAAATTTCGTAAGAGACTAAATAATGCATACTTCTTGAAAATTGTGCTGTGTGAATTTGTCCGCGATTCGTAGGAGTTCCCGACAAGAATGAGTGTCCGCAAACGCTCGTATACCTAGACAATTAGAGGGGTCGAGTTGGCGTTTGAGAAACTCGCAACATATATCTTGAATTTCTGCTAGCTGGAGAAGGCACGCTGCTGGAAGGAGAGTTTGAACATTCGCTTCTTCGACGATGATGTGAGAAGTGTAACAGAAGTCTATTAATAATTCCATTGCCATTTCATCTATATCACGAATCGTGACTTCAGTTTGTCGAGATTCCGCCAACTCCCCAGTAAACATTGCTCTGTGGAAAATGTATGGACAATGTTAGTATTAAGACGAACTGGATGAAATAATTCTGTATCGAAGCTGAAGTATTGTTTCACCTGAAGTACGGACTACACGCTGATAGAATAACACGGTGGGCAAATATCTTTCTAGAGCCAACATTAAGTACGACATCGCAAAGTTCTCGATGACGACGGAGGACGTTGAGTTCCGTGAGCGTAGCACGAGGGTGCTTCTCAGAGGTATGGCTGAGACGGGCTGGAGAAGGCGCGCGTTCCACAACCATTTCACCCATCCTCTGCGAGGATGGGGCGCCCGCGGTCGCTCTCCCCGAGGCGCCCCTCGACCCCCCTAGCTGAAGGCGCAGTGGGGGTGACGCCCAACCCCACACCGAGTCTATCTGCAACACCATTCACCAACCACCACAGCTCTGGAACGTGCCTGCACTAAGTCCCCTAATCTTCTCCAATACCTACGATTCAAATATACATTACTTATTTCTTTGCATCATCTAAAGTCTGGAATGAATATTAAGAAATTTCTAAGAACAGTCCAAGGAATTTAAATCAAGTAATTGTGGGTATTGCGAGTATTCTATGTAATCTAACTTCCACCAAAGTGAAGATGGAAGTTCTAAAGTATCAGAAGCAAACGGATCACTCGCTTTAACTGAAAAGAAAAACTGAATATAAGCTATGGAAATATTAATTCTTCGATACATGTTATGATACAATATATGTCTTTAAAGTTTTGAACTCTTTTTCCAATCATTTTGTATATGAATGAAACTTATATACACATAAGAAATTGTTCTATATAACTTATCTGATAAAGTACAATCATGGTGATAAAACTGAGCGCATATTACAATTCTCTAAAGTCAGGAGAGACCAGTACAATGGATAAGTACTCTGTAAAATGTAACATAATGAAAAGAGCACACATTAAACGAATTACTCTCAAAAAACTTGCTACTAAAGAAAAAAGTTGTTGATAAATGCCTTAAGTATCTAGAACAATTTCAACTGTATGGAAAGCCAAACACATACATTTAAACTTTATATTTAGAACATTTTAAAACTAAGTTCGAGCTATATAAATTAAGGGATAATAATCACAGTACATTCTGTCAAATTTAAAACGTTTTGGATTATTGCGCTACATTACACTGAGGTTAATAAAACTAAGTTTTGAAATATGCTGATAATAATCACTTACATTATATATGATTAAACAATAGCATATATTCAAAAATTGAAACATTACTTAGACACACTGAAACAGAGAAACAAGTCGAACCTAAATATCACGCTGCTCTGTATCAACACAGAACTTAAATAAGATTTTAACAATGAAATAACTTAACAACTCTCTTTAAAACTGTAATGTTCTAAATTAAAAGCTTCTGTACAATAAAAATTGAAATCTGCTGAACCTCTGGCATGAAATCTTTGGTATCACTGCAACTTTCAAAGGCGAAGGACAAGACAATAAAAACAGGACCACTGTTTTATGAAAAAAGTCACATTGATAAGCTAAACAAATGACAGAGCCTCCATCAATCATTCCTGAAATGTACACAATCATTTTTGCATTCGGGGATGCGAGAGTGTTTTTAAAAAATCGGACGATCCGTAAATGCGGGAAAGCGTATTACAAACAACATTGGCACTCACTGTATGACGAATGCGAAGTTTGTGTCGTGCGTTCGACGAGGTTGGTCGTATTTCTACACAGTGTAGATAATTTTTCAGTTGGCGTGTAATAAACAAAGATCTTGATACGCGTTTCAGCTTCGTTTTTTTCGATATGGTTACAACTATAGCATGATGTCACATGCCGAATGCTATCGTGCTCGGCAACGAAACCACGCTTCAAATGCGACACACAAGGTTCTCGTGAACGATATCACGAGGGCACTTTCATTTTGAAATCTTTTCTGATGCACGATGCACCAAATACCGATTTGCTCGTTTCCGAACCAAATCCCCAGGGCTACGCTCGCGTTGTGCCAATTGTGTCAATCTACCTCGGTTTTCCGTTTACGTCCACCAGATGGAGACACTGACTCCAATGAGCTGTCGGATACTCGACGATTATGTCGCATTTCTCGTTACCAACCGTAGTTAGTGTAGTTTCAATGGTAGCGTAGATATATTTTTTTCGTGTGTTTTATAAACAATATAATATAATATTTATTAACAGTTTCACCACGAACGATTACCACGTCTGTTCTTTTCGTGATATTTTAATAACTATTGTTAACGAGGGTTCAATTAATAAAATTGAAGCACAAAAACATCGGTAATAGAGGATTCTTCTTACTCGTAGGTAAAGAAGGATCCTTCCCTATCATGGCTATTCGCCATAGTAACTCCATTTAAAATTGTTTGCAAACATTTATTTTGCAACAAAAAGGATCTATTTTGTTTCAAAGGAAACTCAGATAATAATTATATCTTTCTATACATGAAATTTTTCATCGAAGTTTCACAAAGATTGTTTAAGTCCGATAAATAATATAAAACATTTTATTTATAAAATGCTTAATTTAATTGAAACCATACATGACAAATTTATACCGTGCCAAATGTAATGTTTTTTAACCAGTTAACGGTGACGAGTATAAACGTCACCTTAAAATTCTTTACGGTGGTTTATTTATTTTTTCAGACAAACATGTAGTTTTTCTTCTTAGATTTTCGTTGGGATGTATCTTAAGTGCATTTGGCCTGCGTTCAACGAGTATACGCTTCATTATTTGATTTTATTGCGACAATGAGAGACTTTTCAAACTGAATTCCACAGTTAACCGGTCAAATTTGCCTAATTTCTATTGTCTCGCGTGCAACAGACACAGAGGGACGTTCGGTGTCCGGATATTTTATTTCCGTGTACATCAGGTTTCATTTTCTCCCGCGAGATTATTCAATCATCACGGGACAAGTGGCACGGGCCAGGCCGGGCCCGGCCAGCCCGTTCATTCGGTGGATCACCTTATTAAGATTACAAGGTCTGCCTGTGGTTGTGTCAAAATCTAGGTCACCCGTAATAAGGCTTAACCGATTTTTATTGGCACCTGCCACCCGAACTCATAACGAACCGCTTAATCGTTTGATCGTAGACATCGTTTTATCGTATTCCAACAGGCTGCAAGAAAATCGCGATCACGGAAGTTCACCGGTTTCGATCGCAACTCAGGTGCCGTTCGACGGAAACGAAAACGTCTTCTCGATCACCGGTCACGACGAATTCGAGAATTACGATCGAATTAACTTTAACGGGCTGAACGCTGATCGCCTTACTCGTGTAATCAACACAATTGTCCCGACGGAATTAGAGATTGGAAAATCAAAGCTTTTTGATTTTCGAAATTTGTCTCGTTCAATGTGTTACCGAGAAAATTCATTTTTAAATTTACGAAGGATCGTGTTATCTAAATTCGGGTGACAACGGTCGAAGCGTTGAAATCAGTCTATTTTCTAGCTACTTCGTATAACGTAGTAATTTCATTACCGATTTTATGCGTTATTTTATAGGAAAACATAGAAATTCAATAGGAACTGCAATTCACACGGTTTTCCATGATTAAACAACGATGAACCGTGACAATGAATTTACTATTGCAAACAAAGAATTGTATTTCTGCGTGTTCTTATTAGGCAGAAACTTTGATCGCTGACTCGGTAGAAAATTGAATACTGCAACAACCGTTTGCAACGTACGTTGCAGATACGCTTAACAAAAGTGTTCCATTATTTCTATTATTATTGTAAAGTTTTCCATTTAATTGGAATGTTACATTGTGTACTGGTAACGAAAAATCTCGTTTTTCTATAAAGACTCTTAGCTACAAAACTCCGCTAATTACCACAGCATTCAAGGAAATATTAAATTTGATTACAACAAATTGTCCATTTAAAGTATATTACATAACAATACGATACCTGAGTTTTTTCATAGATAGCGATATAAGTGGATCTCACTGAAAATCCGTACAAAATTCTCTGATAATTAACCAGTACGCAATGTGTTACGTTGGATGCCATGTGGGTCACCGGTGACCTCAACTCGAATTATTATAATTCATTCGATTAAACGATGATTATTCGGAAACCTTTCTTTATTATCAGTAATACCACTTAATGTAATCACATTCAACAAGACAAACCTGCAATAATAACGCGTTTCAATAACACAATTCGATATTAGATTATTCTCGTTTTGTATATTTTCCTCAGCAAAATCGTACTCGACGTGTTGATACACGGAAAAATGATGCTCGCAATGATACAGGTTTGTTGACTGTCGCTCGTATTCGGCTCGATCGTGAAGCGGTCGCAATCTCTGCGAAAGGTGCACGGCGCGCGCAGGAATACCGCTGATACAGATGATGCATGCGCGCCGGCTTATCGCGGTTTATCAGTTTGCGCCACTGACTCGGACTGGTTTTTGCATCGGCACGATCTTTATCGGGTATCGCTCGAGTAAGTCGTCAGTGTAATTTTAAATTCGCGATGCGTCGAAGCGTTATTAAAGTGGTTTAAGAGGTATCGCCGGTGTTACCGCGGTTTTTGGATTTAAACGCTGCGCCTCGAGGCGCGTTTAACTCCGATTACAGAAACTCGAACCGGTTACAGCTTTCCGGAACCGGACCCGGAATAAGTCTCTCCCTCTCTATTTCTCTGCTCGCTTTGTTTCTGTCTTCATCGCAGTCCCTTCCTGTGCACCCTTTCCTTTCCCATTCCCCGTCGACTTGTCCGTCCTCTGCTCCGGACCACCACTCGTGTTTTCCTTTTCTCTACCGCTCTGCATTTTTTACCTCTATCTAATGTTTGGTGTCTCGATCGAATTTGTTCTTGTTCTCTGGTGGCGATCAGGGCGATGTGTTTGTTGGAATGTGTTGGAAGATTCGATGCAACGTGGATACCAGTTGAAGCAGACGTTGCAAGAGGGTTGCTACTCTATTGAGTAGTCCACGCTTTGGTTTCATTATCGTTATTCGAGCCTCGTGGCAAACAATGCAGATGAAACAGAATGAGACGAGATGAAACGAGGAACGATTGAGAATAAACATTGGCGTCTTTTGTTTTGGAAGATCTTTCATTGAAATTCCGTTTACTATTTGATGGTTAGATCGAGGAATTGACCATAAGTAGCTAGGTTTTGTCTGTTATCTTTCTATATTTCATATTAATTTGCTATTTGTCAATGCGGTTACACATAACTAATGAAAACTATAAACGAAACGCATCAAAACGTTAACCATCAAACAATAAGTGAACTATATCGATAGCTACGCTTAGGAATACAGGTAGATGACCACTCTTCATCTGTTATCATTTTATATTTAACCCTTTGCACTCCAGGAGTTTTTCATTAGGTTAATACTATTTTCAAAGAGTTAATACTAATTTGTCTTTGTCGATACGGTTACACACAACCAACGAAAACTACGAACGAAACACATCAAACAATAAATGAACTATATCGATAGCTACATCGAGGAATACAGGTCAGTCTTCATCTGCTATCATTTTATATTTAATACTAATTTATTTGTCGATACGGTTACACACAACCAACGAAAACTATAAACAAAAGACATCAAATCGCTAACCATCAAACAATAAATGAACTATATAGATAGCTACAGGTCTAGATGACCAGCGTTCATCTATCTCGTCCATTATCAATCAGAACCACAATACAAACGAAACGCACAGGCAGAGACTGTTCTTGCCTGTGTGCGTCGCCGCTAGCCGTCAACCGGTAGACAGACCATACCCATCGCGATCGGCTGGAAAGATGGAGAGGTAGATACGGGAAACGATGGGTCGCGGTCGCGCCGGAACGATTTCTCGGCGAGGCTCGAACGACGATCGCGTTACCGGGTTATGGAGGTGGTTGGAGGAAGCGGCGGACCCCTTTCAATCGATCCGGGTAGCACGTGCTCGGCAACTATAAGCGGGCGCAAATAAGCGGGCATAAAAATAAATGTCACGGCGGAACGGAGCCCGCCGCCACTCTCCCTTTTCCCGACGTTCCTTCAACGGAGGCTCGGCTTTGCGTCCTGGCTCCTTCGGCCGGCTCGTGAGACGCGTAAATAACGAGGAACAGCTGAAGGAGCACGCGCGTCCGTATACAGAGTTACACAGAGTACTTACGCCGCTTTATACATAATCGTTCAAGTGTCCTGATCTACATGAAATCAGAAAATACGAGGATGCGTCGCCACGGCAACATCTTGCCGCGTTGTCGCTCCTCCTTCGGGCCACGTGAATTATGTATAACAGTTTACTTGACACATCGCGTAGCGGATAATTTTCAGAAAACTGAATTTCGATGGCAATTTTTACTGAGGTCAACTTGTATGGCTGTATATAGAGAAACTCGGATATCATATTGTTGTGTAATATATTTTATAACAGTTTCTTTGACACATTGCGTGCCAGCTAATTTTCAGAAAACTGAATTGTGATGGCAATTTTCAGTGAGGTCAACTTATATCGCTGTACATAGAGAAACTCAGATATATTGTTATGTAATATATTTTAATCCTTTGAACTCTGTAGGCAATATGGCGGTTGAGTTTCTATAAAAGTTTCATAAACGCGTTATTAACCATAGATTTGAATTGGAATTTCTCGCTTCATTCCTTTCACGAGGGAAGACGTTTAGCTTTGAATTTAGAAGAAAAAGTTCTGATATATTTGCATAATACTATAAATCACCCCTCTGTTATTAGCTTTTAATATTGTTAAAAGGTGCACCTAAAAATTAGTTATATCCAATTTGTAAGGGAAAGTGTAAAGAAGCTTGACTAATGAATTTAATACTTCGAACTCTGTAGGCTGCAATATTACACTAGTTATAGTGTTAAATATTTTAATGAATCTTAAAGAAACCACCCTAAAATACGATTTTCCGCGCATCCAAATTTTCTACTAAGAAGGAAAATAATTTGCGCTAGGAATACTATAAAAATTGGTTGCTGATAGATTACAAAACAACATTTACAATTCAGTTAGCTTATTGCTAAATCAATTTCTTGAATAATTCCTCAGAGAAATATCCGTTATATCCTTAATAATCCCACAAGGAAGAAATCAGGAACGGGTCATTTCATTAAATTCCGAATAATTCGAAAATTCGAATTACTCAAATAACCAGAGACCGGCGCACGGTTCTTTCCTCTTCTCCTCTCGCTAAAAGAATTTCCAGAAGTTCAACCAGTTTTCGTTCGCAAGTTAATTCTATCAGCGTCCGATATTTTCAATATTCATCGCAGCGCCAGCCGAATGGTCAATTTGCGGCCGTTACAGGTTCCACGTTAAAGTGTCACGCAATATTCGGAAATTTCAGCCGATCCACTAAATCGAGCGATTATGTACCGTCCGCTATCGTTGCAGGACGGTGTTGTACGCGCTCGCTCGCTCGCAAAAGGACGACGACGCCGTCCGTGTATTAAACCGGATCGGGTCAGACCCGGGAATTATTTGTTGTCGTGCACTTGGCCCAGTTTAAGGACACGCGCGTGCCGTCCCGTTCTCTGTGCAACGGGGATGCATCGCTAATTTTTACATCGTCTTCCATGCGTACATCGTGTGCCGGGTTCAAGCAGCTTGCATTCGTAATTGGAGCGGCACCATATACTTTTTCACGACATTCGGAATACCGTCGTTAAACGCGCGACCGCGCGCTTTTCCAAGAACCTCGCGGTTTTCGACAGCTGGACAAAAAGAATTGTGTCGTCAGGGAAATTGCTCGTTTCGCGTTTGTCTTTGTTACAGGAATGTCCTAGGAGGAAGGAGATCCATTATTTCTGATGCTTTTCGATTTGAATTGTATTAATTCCAGTCGCCACTGGATACGACCCAATGAAATGATAAAATTTCAGATTCAATATTAAATTTTATATAGTGTGACAACGCATGGAACATCGAAATAAAATAATTTATACAAGGTATTTCTTTATGTCAGTTGTGAAAAGTATCATTGATATCTTATCAGAAAATAATGGATATTTGTTGAGAAAAATATTCTCTAGTGCAAAGGGTTAACACTAGAACGAGCTTTTAATACGATTAATATGCAATTCCTATAAAAATTGTAACAATATTTTCAGTTTCTTCAGGGATTCATTGTAGTACTGAAATGAAACTATTTTCAAAATCATTTCGAATATTCAATGCTTCCAAGATATCGATAATTGCTAAACGAACAAATCGAAACCAGTCATTTTTACTGGTACGTAGTTCTGGTGTTAGAAAACATTCGGAGAATATAAATGTTATCTATTTATGTTTCATATAAATGAAACATTATTTGGCTATTATTTGCCTATAACATTTAGTAAACATAGGCACAAAATAAGCATCAAGTTCTTTTCGTTTTCTACTGAATAATTACCGATCAATTAGTTCTATTAAGCATATTTGATAGAAATAGAACAAGGATTACCAAGGGGCTCATCTCCCAAACAACGCACAGTACACATCATTCGCTCGCCTACAATTTCGCTGATAAAGATTCCCAATATTCATATCTTAATCTTGCTCGATATATTATCGATACCTTATCGATAAGAGAATAATCACTGGCAACTGAATAATCGCCGCGTCACCAGTTCCAACTAGAAACACACTCGCGATGAGTCGGAGGTAATAAGTTACAAAATTCCAGAGGATTAAAGTCACAATAAAAAATAATTCGTGTCCAGTGGCAGCGTCCTTTTATCATCAGCCTCGTTTACTCGAAAGTGTTACGGTCTGTTATCGTCAGATCGAAGTCTGAAAACTATACTCAATCGTTCTCCGATATAACGGCATCAACGGAAAGTTCAGCCGATCAAATATTCCGCGAACTGTTCCGCTCGGGCAGCGAGCATGGCGAAAACAAGGGCAAAAAGGAGTGCGATCTGGCGGTACTTTTCGGAGTGCAGTGAACGCGACAAAAACACATTAGTCAAATGCAACGCGTGCAACGCGGCGCTGCCTTTCTGCAGGAACACGACGAACTTGTGGTCCCACATCCGCATACACCACAGAGTTATCTTGGACAACATCTCGGCGAAGAAATCCACCGGAGAACGTCCGCGGCAGAGTCCTAGCATTTACTCTCACAACATTGCAGCAGATTCGAATCGGCCGACGATCGAGCCGACGCAAATCCTATCGGCCAGCTGCAACGGGGCGCAGCGATACCCTGCCGACTCGAAGCGAGCAGCGGAGATCACCAACGCCTTGCTGCTGATGATCGCCGAGGACGTTTACCCGTTCTCCATAGTGAACGACAGAGGATTCGTGAACTTCGTGAGAACGCTGGACGAGAACTACCAGCTGCCGGACAAGAACTCTCTGGCGACCAAGTATCTACCGGCGCTCTACGAGTCGAAATGCAAAGAGATCGCGGAGAAACTGTCGGAGGCAGAGTACGTTCACCTGTCGGTGGACTCGTGGTCAGAGGGCAATCGCAAGATGTCCTTCGTCGCGATCACCGCGCACTACTGCGTCCGCGGGGTGCTGCAGCAGAGCACTTTGCGGGTGTTCTACACCCTGCTGCAGTGCGGTAGCAGAATTTACGAGTTGCTGGATCAAACGGCTATAGCTTGGAGCATTAGATCGAAGATCAAGACGATCGTGTACGACAGCGCGAGCAACGTGCACGCTGCGCCTGCCTGGCGCAGGATCTCCTGCTTCGAGCACACCCTGAACACCGTCGTCCGCGACGCGATCAAGGAGAACAGGACCGTCGTCGACGTTCTCCACAAGTGCAGGGACATCGTCGGCGTCCTGAAGACGGACAGCGTGATCGCGAAAGCGTCGAGGAACGAGAAGAAGGAGAGTCTTCTGAAGAGTCTCAACCTGAAGAAGGACATCATCGGACGCTGGAAGTCTACTTACTCGATGCTCTGCAACATGGTGGAGCTGAGGTGCATTCTGTCCACGATGCACGCGCATCTGTTGGAGAACAACGTCGCCTGGATCACGGAGAACGAGTGGGAAACGATCTCTGGGACGATTCAACTGCTGAAGCCGTTCCACGAGGCTGCCAAGGAGGTCTCCGGCGACTGTCGCGTTACCATCTCGAAGATAATACCGATCGTGCATTGTATTGAAGCTGCTGTGGCGAATCAGGTGAACCTGATGGAAGACGCCATGTTGCTGCGAGCTAATTTGTTGAACGAACTCGGCATGTGCTTCGAAGGGATCGAAGCGCATCCTGTTTACTCGATCGCCACGTTTTTGGACCCTCGGTACAAGAATATCGCGTTCCACTCGAACGAGTGCGTTGAACTGGTGAAGAATCTGTTGACGTCGCAGTACAAGCTTCGGGAGGGTTGTAGCAAAGATGTTGATGGATATGGGAGTGCAGTGCAGCAAGGCAGAAACGATACCGATGATATTAACGATACTTTGTGGGCGGAGTTTGATAAGAAGGTACAGAAGGCGACAGTCGAGTCTGTATATTATTTGTGTCCGTTGAAAGATGAGTTGGAAAGGTGAGTGTGATGATTAGAGGGTGGTTATTTGCAACGTTGACTCCTCGACGATTTGGGTGACCTTGAAGTATGTTGCGGAGGAATCGGTTTTGAAGGACTTTTTGCTATGAATGTTGCCGCTCGGTTTTAGGTTTCTGGATGTTTGCTAAGATATGTCAGGGTTGCATAAAGGGTAACCCTAGGATGACTTTGACCTTGACAGATATTGTTGTTATTGTTCTGGATAATCAAGAGTTTGAACTGTTTGATGAGTGTTGTTTCCAGAGTTATGATGCATTAACCCTTTGCACTCGAGAGGAGCTTTTCAGTCGATATTTTATCTGAGCTAAGAAAATTGTAAAATTGAAAATTCAATATTAAATTTTATACGGTGTACGAACACATGGAACATCGAAGTAAAATAGTTCTGTCACTTAATTTATGCAAGGTGTCTCTTTATGTTAATTACAAAAAATATCATTGACATTTTTTCAAAAAGTCCTGGGTGTTTAGGATGATGACTTAGGGTTATACTCTTTTTATAAATAGGTACGAATGTTCTACATTTCCGGATATTTTGCGAATATCTGGAAAATTAAGGCCGAGCGGCGTATAAATGAGAAAGTTGCTCAGAATGATGACCTTGGTGACATATTTCAAGATCATCCGAATCGGCGAGGAATCAGTGCTGCGAGGATTTTCAGAAGAATATAAAAATACGGCTGTAAGTTTATAACTGGCATTAAACGTCACGAGAAATTTCGAGTACAACGGAAGCCCGTGTAACGCCATTAAAAAATTACGTTTTATAGCGACTTCACGTTTGCGAATCTCGCGTTAAATTCTTCTTTTTGATACTGGTCCAACTTCTCCCTCTCTCTCTCTCTCTTTTATTACTTTCTTTTGGAGAATCTCATTTCTTTTGGAGAATCTCAGTGTTAACCTTTGGCACTCGAAAGCTTTTGACTGGAAATATTCAAGATTTTCCGACGAGATATGGTCGACATTGTTTGAAACTGGTTTTGACAATAATTCACAGATAAATTAAGCAATACTAAACAATTATAATTTCTTTCAACTCTTACAGGTATCTACTTTTGAAGCCAATTAATAGAAAGTCCAATCCAATCTCGTGGTGGAACGCGGAAGGCAAAACTTTGTTCCCGAAACTTATGAAACTGGCATTAGAATATTTATGTATTCCAGCAACTTGCGTCTCGAACGAACAACTATTCGCCAAAGTCGAGCAAATCCTTTCGCAGCGACGAACACGAATGCAATCGAAATATCTCAACATGCTCTCTATGTTACACTTAAATAGAAATAATTAAAATTCAATAGAATATTCCTCGTACCTGAAATCCATCCGCAGAAGCTCAAACATTCCTAATATCTCTTCATCCACGAAAATCCAACGAATTCAACATTTTTCCAATTAACCCTTAGCACTCGAAAGTTGCCAAGAAAATTATAAAATTGAAAATTCAACATTAAATTTTCTATAACGTATCAGCACATGGAACATTGAAGTAAAATACTTCTGTCACTTAATTCATACGAGGCATTTGTTTACGTTAGTTGCAAAAAATATCATAGACATTTGATCAGAAAATAATGAATATTTATCGAGAAAAATATCCTCGAGTGCAAAGGGTTAATACCAAAAATGTAATTTCAACCCTGATCTTTTCCTTTTGTCGACCAGTGATTTATAAAACGCAAAATGTTTATTCTACGCTCGTTTTATATTTGTTTCGCAATAATTTGATATTTTAATCGTTCATTAAATGTAATTCCGAATGATTATCCTCGCTGCAGTAATAAGGTTCGTCTTATAAGGGTGTTCCATCTCAATTTCGCTGTCGAAAATGTTTTTTTAACATCGCGCCAGAGGATCGAACTCAGCGATGGCGGCAACAGGTGAAGTATAGCGTACAATTTGTTCGGCGTCGATAAATCAGTGAAGATAAAACGAGTCTAGCTGCCGGGACCCGGCCGTTGCACCTGTTTTATTTTTTTCTTTTCAATCTACCTGCCGACATCTCCGCAACTCCTTCTGCCGAGGATCAAAGAGGCACAATGAACCCCAAATTATGCAAATGCGATTCATCCTGCCTCGGACTAATTAATTATTTTGTAGCTTGTGCTCCTTTTACACTCGCCAGTGAATATCATTAGATCCACACTTCGGTAGAATTTAACCCTTATGCGAATATTCAGATACTAATCTTTCAATTTTCTTAGCTACAATCTGTCGCTTTCTCGTGTGAATTTGATTAAACTCCGATCTACCCGATTCAAATAAAAGAACATTAAAAAAATATCAGACTTTTAGTATCGTTCTTTTTTTTTATACGTGTGTCCTTTTTCCCCGCGTGCACACGTGTCCGGTATTCACGTCCTTCGTATTCTTTTAGAATTTTCACTTTCGACGCGCGATACTCCATTGCCGTGCGAAACACGGTAAACGATTCCAGTAATCTTTGGAACAATAATATAATATACAATAATTTTCCTGCAATCTCGAGACCGATCTCCGCCATTATTTTTACTGTATCGAAGAAATCTGCGATATGCTTGCGAAGGTCGTCCTCTTGTTTCGTATGCGTTAATTTTCCACGACAATAACTATAGAATATAGCCAACCTCTGTATTTACATAATCGACTCTTTTTCTGAAAAATTTGTCGCGATTTACCTACTAAAATTTTGACATTTAACACATTCAAACTTGTCTCTTGCGTACTAACAAATAATCAAAGTAACCTTAAAATATTAACCCTTTGTTCTTTGAAACTAATTACTGAGAAATAATGCATAAATTATGAAGGAAAGTTATTTTATTTCAATATTCGATATATCGATGCAACATACAAAGTTCAATATTATATATAAAACTTTATAATTTTGTAAATCAACTCAAATGGTGACTGAGTCACCTCTCGAGTGCAAAGGGTTAAACTACTATAATATTTTATTGGCCTTCATGGAAAAGTCGATGGACCAAAGAGTCACTTGTTCATTCCTATGGAACAACAATCACATCTGTGGAAAATTATTTACTAATGCTAGAGGTAGTGTTGATATGATTTAACACTAGAACTACCATACCAGTCAAAATGACTGGTTTCAATTTTTTAGTTTAGCGATTATTGATATCTTCGAAGCATTGAATATTCGAAATGACTTTGAAAATAAATAGTTTCATTTCAGTACTATAATGAATGTCTGAAACTGAGAATAATCTATTGTCACAGTTTCTATAGGAATTGCATATTAATCGTATCAAATGCTCGGTAGTTCTAGTGTTAATGAATGTACGGAAAATCGGAAAGTACGAATATCACACGACAAGTAAAATATATCGTGTCTTCTATAATATTCATAAAGGAATCGTCTCCTACCGTGACAGGAAGAGATTCTGCAATATTTTCGTAATTATGTCTTTAAAAGCTGATATTTACATAATGGTACGCTGTCTGGTAATCGTTTGCGAGCAAATAGTATATAATAGTATAGTATAAATTAGTTTCACGAGTAGTATTATTTTTCAAGTAATGTGTGCAATATTGCCGAATACCACAATCGAAGGAATGGAACAAGAGCCAGCAGGATATGCGGGTAGCGCGTGTATTCTTACCCAAGTGCGCCTACAGAAGAGTTACTTATCTGTACGAGCCAGTTCTTGGAGCCTGGAACGCGCAGCTGACCGTTTTCCACCGCCACCTGTACCGTTTGTTCCTTTTCGTGTATGCTTTTCCGTTTTACGATCCCATACAACCGAATCCTACCAGAAGG